CCCCCTCACGCTAAAACAAAAACAACAAAAATAAACCAATATGGGACCAAAAAACAAAATACCCCATTGAATTGAAGCAACTAGTAATAGAGTACACAAGATACACCACTCCCTTAAAAGGTGCCCTCCACCGTCAATGTGCTTTAAAGAGTTTAACACGGATGAAAATGTTGCCACATGACCTTCGTGAGGGTGTTTAGTTCCAATTCTCAAATAGAAGCATGATCCAGCCTCCAGAATCATCTTTGCTTCTCTCTTTTGAAATACAAGATATGTCAGATTTTGAATGTTTAAAGCAGGCCTTGTGGCTTATAAACATTCTTGCCTGGCTCGAATCACAATCAGTCATTCATCATTAATATCGATGCAAAGCCAAAGAAGAAGGTCACTCTCTGTACAAACAGCTTAATACGTGCATTTCATAGGTACACTGTACCATTTCTCATGTTGTTAAGGACGCATTGTTTCTTTTCTCACTCTCAGGTAGAGCGATTCGTCTAACCGAACAAACTTTTTTACACCTCATACTATATCAACCTACCAGTAAGAGTAACATTTCTTAAACCAAAAATGTGACAATAATAAATAATGATAATAAACAGCATTTGTTTAGCACATATCCCAACTCAATAGCAAGCTGTTCGCACGATACAATCAATATTACTACCCAAGCAGACCTGAGATCATTTAGAAACATTCTTGGCTTCCCAGGAAGCGAACAGTGCAAGCTGCTGATTAAGCACTTAAACACTAACAACCGACAAGATCTTTCATTAGCTGGGTACACATTCCCAACTGGATGAAGTGAGGGAAATTCATGTAAACCACCTTTCCCAAGGATACAACGTCGGGCCCCTGACAAGGTTCAAACTCATAACCTTCTGAAAGCTTTATCAGTAGAAGGGCCATGCCACTTCATCTTAGAACATATAGTTTGCACAGGACAGAATTTGTATTGCTGTTCTATGAATGTTTATTCACAGTGATACTTCCGTGCTTTTGCAGCTAATTTTGGTGGGTGTTGCAGTCAACTTCGGCCAATATTACTTGTTATACATTCAAATACAGAGAATATAATAGAATTAGGCACACTTTAAATGACTCACTGCTTCTGATTGATTGGGTAGATGTTTTACGGCACTATCGACACAATTTTGGTCATTTAAGCGCCATCAGGTTTCACCGCTACAAAATCAGACGTGTTTTTAATAAGAGTCTTTCGGAGCTCGCAACCGCAAACGATCACACTATTTCTATTATGCTAAAAAGACGAACAAACATTTATAAAAAAATTTTTTGTGTAAATATGGAAAAGGTTTATTTACATTTGTATATACAATACAAATCTCAGTGTATGTATATATACACCGACAACGACAACTATATATTTTCACATTTTATTAAACAGTTCAATTTCTTTTATAAAACTTAAAATTCTTCTAGGTTCTATGATGTTAAAAAGGGTCTTAATATCTTTACATTTAAAATATTTATCACGGACATAATTAAAGTCGACACATTCCATTAGGATGTGCCGAACTGTGAAATCTGTGTTGCACGCCACGCAAAAAGGAGCTTCCTCTCCTTCGAGCAAATGCTTGTGCGTGACGTGCGTGTGTCCTATTTTTAGTCGGGTAAAAATTACTTTTTCCCTTCGTGGTAGAGAAAATGGTTTCCTGGGCGTAAGTTTCGGTTGAATGTAATGGAGTTTGTTGTGTATTTGTTGATTCCAACTTTGGGACCAGGAGGATGTGATGTGTTCTTTTACTTTCGGTTTCATGTCAGAGAAAGGGATTTTACTATTTTTGTTTTCAGGTAGTTTTAGAGATTCTTTGGCAAATTGGTCAACGGCTTCGTTGCCATCAATGCCTACATGGCTTGGAAGCCAAGCTATTGTAATAGTTTTTCCAGACTGATGTAGAAAATGCAGTTTAATGATAAGTTTCAAAATTCTGTTGTCGGAGGTGTCAGAGCGCTCTAAAGATTTCAGACAAGAGAGAGAGTCTGAAAGGATTAGGAAGGTAGACTTGGTTGATTGATCTATAATATTTAGGGCCATTTCAAGAGCTGTAGCCTCAGCAGTGTAGACTGAGGCTTCTGGATGGAGTTTCCTTAAGCTTAAGCTGTGTGGCGATGCAAGGGCAGCAGCTCCTACTGCGGAGTCATTTTTGGATCCGTCTGTAAAGAGTTTCTCTGCTTCAGGGTATCTATTTATTAGCTGTTTGTATGAGTTTAAGTATGTAGTTTTGTCTGTAGACTTTTTGTTGTGTTTTTCAAGACTAGTATCTATGTTTGGTTTGGTTAAATGCCATGGAGGTATGCTGGACATGGCAAAGGGCTCGATTATGTCTTCAGAAAAATCAATGTCTTTGAGATCGTTCTGGATTCTTATTCCGAAAGGGCTTACTTTATTTCTTAAGGAGGATATAGTTTTTAGGTCTTCGGGAAGGCCAAAGAAACATAATTTGTGGGCTGGGTTTTGGGGTACTGAGCTAAGTTTCAAAGCGTACTGCAAAGAGAGTTTTTTCCTTCTAAGTTCCAAAGATGGTTCATGTGATTCTGCCTGTAAACTTTCTACAGGTGAAGTACGGAAAGCGCCCAGGGCAAGGCGAAGGCCTTGGTTCTGAACAGGGTCTAAAATTTTAAGGTAAGACTTTCTGGCTGATCCGTAAACAGGACTGGCATAGTCCAGCTTGGAACGGACAAGAGAACGGTAAAGTTGAAGGAGTATTTCAGTATCTCCTCCCCATTCAGGATTGGATAATACTTTTAAGGCGTTGAGAGCACTCTGGCACCTCGTCTTTAGGTCTTTCAAGTGTGGTAGGAAAGAAAGTTTATTGTCGAAGATTACGCCCAGGAAATGAGCTTGTTTTTTAACAGGAATTTTCTCTCCAAACAAATATAAGTCTGGTTGTCGCACACACTTGTGCGACAGACAAAAATGCACACAGTTTGTTTTTACTGTGGAAAATTTGAACCCGTGCCCGTTTGCCCAAGTTTCCAGTTTATGGAGTTGAAGCTGAAGCTGGCGTTCAATGTGATCTATTTTGGATTTGGATTTATAGCAAATCAGGAAGTCGTCAACATAAAGTGAGCAGTCAATATTGTTTTGAAGGGTTTTTGTGATGGAATTTATTTTGATTTCGAAAAGAATGGGCGATAAGATGCTTCCCTGGGGACGCCTTCTTCTTGGGTGTGTAAATTTGATAATGTTGAACCTACTTTTACTTGAAATGATCGATCTTTCAAAAAGTTTCGTATAAATTCTGGAAGATTTCCGCGTAAGCCCAAGTCATGCAGGTCTTTCAGAATACCATGTTTCCATGTGGTGTCGAATGCTTTTTCTAAGTCGAAAAAAATAGCCACAAGGTGCTCTTTTCGAATGAAAGCTTCCCGAATGAAAGTTTCAAGTCGGACGAGATGGTCAATAGTAGAGCGATTTTTGCGAAAACCGCATTGAAAATTGGATAAGGAGTTTGAGGTTTCGAGAAACCACATTAGACGTTTGTTAATAAGTTTTTCCATAAGTTTACAGAAACAGTTTGTAAGGGCTATGGGACGGTAGTTTGAAGGGTTAGAGTGATCTTTTCCTGGTTTTGGGATTGGTATAACAGTGGCAAGACGCCAACTGTTCGGAAATTGTTGAGAATGCCAGAGTTCATTGTAAATATCAAGGAGTAATAGGAGTGTTTCGTCTGGAAGACGTTTGATGATTTCGTTGTGCATTTGATCAGGGCCTGGAGCTGTGTTTGATAGTTCTGCAATATTACATTTTAATTCGTTAAGAGAAAAGCTGCAATTATAGTGTTCTTCATTTGAAGAGGTAAAATCAACAGTTGTCTTTTCAGAAGACATTTTTACTTTTTGGAATTCAGGGTTGTAATTGTGGGTAGAGGAATTTCCGGAGAGAGTTGATGCTATACAGTCAGCAACTGTTTTTTCGGTTTCTACGAAGGAGTTATTCGGTTTCAGGATGTGTTTGATTGTGTCTTTTTTAGTACCTTTTAATTTCTTTATCATCTTACAGACTTTGTGCATTGGTGTGTTGTTGTTGATTTTTGAGACATAATTTCGAAAAGATGTTTTCTTGGCTGTTCTGATTTTTCTGCGTGCTTGGGCTCGCGCAATTTTGAAATTAATGAGGTCTTCGTTAGTTTTAGAGTTGACGAACTTCCTGAGAGCTGATTTTTTGGCCGCAACAGCTTTTTGGCAGTCTTCAGTGAACCAACATTTATTTCTTCGGGGTTTGGTGGATAATTTTGGTATGTGTTTTTGAACGATCTCGAGAAGGGTTTCATGAAATCGTTCAAACGTTTGTGTTTGTGTTTGAGATGGATTGAGTTTCTCCAGACATTCCACGTGAAACCCATCCCAGTCCGCTCTTTTAAGATTGAAACGGTCTGGGATAGGAGTTCGGTGTGGAATGTCTGGAATTAGGGTGATGGGGAAGTGGTCCGATCCGTGTGGGTCGTCCAGGACCGACCACTGAAAGTCTGGAATTAGGTCAGGATCACAAAGGGTTAAATCTATGGATGAAACGTTTAGGTTATTTGAATTTTGAAATGTTGGGGAATTGTCGTTAAAAATACTAGTACTGGTTTTTATTAAGAAATCTTCTATGATTTTACCTTTAGTATCAGTTGGTTCATTTCCCCAAAGAGGGCTATGGGCATTAAAATCTCCCAACATGATGAAGGGTTGTGGGAGCTGTTCTCTGAGGTTTATTAGTTCTCTTAAAGATAGAGGATAATTTGGGGGGATGTATATTGAACAGATAGTTATAGGACGGTGTAGGGTGACCCTGACCGCAACTGCTTGAAGTGTTGTGTTTAGTTGTATTTGTCTGTGTAGTGTTTGGTTATTTATTAAAATGGAGTTGCCCCCAGAGGCGATTTGGTTGTCGGTGTATATTTGGTTGTAAGTTTGATAGTTTTTTAATGTGAATGTGGGTGTTTGTAATTTTGTTTCTTGTAGACAGATTACATTTGGGGTGTGTGAGGTCAAAAGATAAGAGAGTTCTGCCTGGTTTGCACGCAAACCGCGAATGTTCCACTGAAGAACTGCCATTTTAAATTATTTTGAAGGCACGGGTTCGATACATTTTTTTTGGGTCGTTGGTGACCTTTGTCTTTGTTTTGTTTTGCTGCGGTCACGGTGGACCGCAGCCTTTTTTGAGGGAGAGTGTGGAGGGGGAGGAGGACCGGAGTCCTGAATGCGGGTACAGGGGGGGGAGCGGGTGCGGGGAGTGGGTGGAGGGGCTTTATTGGATGAAGGATGATGGGATGGAGGTTGAAGCAATGAGGGTGTAGGATGTGGTGATTTGTGTGAGGATGATGATGGGGAGGATGTTGTGGGTGAAGATGATGGGGGTGATGATGAGAATGATGAGGGTGAGGATGATGAAGGGGATGAGGATGAAGAAGATGGCTGAGAGGGCGGTGATGAAGAGGGGGTGTGGGGAGATGGCGTATGGAGAGAGGGAGAGATAGGAGTGGAGGAAGGGGACTCCATGTCCTCCTCCGTCTCCAGACTGGAGTGTTGATTTTTGCAGGTGTTCTGCTTTCTATTTGTCTGAAGGACCTTTCGGGTTGGGTTTACTGACCCTGGGACAGTCTTCAGGACTTCTGAATATGTTTTTGTTGTATTCTTTGGCGTCGATCCTTTTGGGTATAGCGTTGCTCTTGCTTGAGCGAACGTTCCGCCGTACTGGGCCCTATGTGTGAGGATGGCTTTCTCCTGACACGACCTCGGACACTCCGTCGAAGATGCAGAGTGACCCCCCTGTCGACAATTTGGGCACCAGGGATCTGCAGAGCAGGTCTCCCCAGAGTGTCCCTCCTTGCCGTAGCGAGGACACGCTGCGCCACGACGACAGCGTAGCTGTGTGTGTCCGAAGCGCTGACAGTTGAAACAGCGCATCGGTTTCGGTATATATGGTCTAACTTCGAGTTCTAAGTATGCGATGTCTAATTTTGTTGGTGGTGTGGGTGTGTTGAAGGTAAGGATCCACGTGTTGGTACAGATTTCCTTGCCATCCCGCCGTATTTTGATACGACGAGCATGGACAATTCCATCGACCTCCTGAACCATTTCTTCTTCGGTACAGCCGTAGAGCTCTCGGCTTTTGATGACACCCTTGGATGTGTTCAGACTCCTGTGAGGCTGAACACATACAGGGATGCCACCAAACGAGGTGCAGGCCAACAGTTTGCCTGATTCAATGCTGGAACTGACTTGTATCAGGAGGTCCGTGGATCCTAGATTTTTTATATATTTTGGCTTGTAAATACCGAAATGTTTGAGTGATTTGTGAATTTTGAAGACGCTTAATGTAGTCAGATTTGTGTCTTGTTTTTCATCTTTTGGGGAGATCACCAAAAATGGTGACCACCCCAACGATGTTCTCTTGGGTATGTCCCAGATGCTGACATTGTCAGCATCTTCGCCCGAAAGGCCCTTCTTTCTTTTGCCCAGGCCAGGAGTTGCACCTGCTTCTCCTGTCTGGGACTTGTTGGGAATTGGGGTGGGAGAAATGTTTTTGGTTGAATCCATGTGTATTTTGTCTTTTATTTCATCTCCAGGGCTCCCCACCCGCCACCGAGTCCAACAAGGGGACACCGCTCGGAAGTCCATAGCTGGTGTCAGGGCTACCCTGGAGGTATACTCCCAATCAGACGGCAAGAAATCTTGCCTTCTAACCAAGATTGGCCAAAACCGGTTCTATGTACCGGTCGCAACCGATTGAGTGCAGTAGGCCACTGCACCCGCCCGTCTAGACCGAATCCAGGGCCAAAGTGCCGTGTTGGTGAGGAAAGCCACACCTCAGCCACCAGGGTCCCCTTCTCCGGTCGTACGGGTCGCACCCCACGGTCAACGGGGTGCCTCGCGTTGCGGGGGTTTGGTGTCTATTCTTTGCTGGACCGGACCTTCGGTCGACAGAATGGAAAGAAAGATAGATGGATAGAAGACATAGCAAGAGCGGACAAAAGATGCCACCCCTACGTCAGAGAGCTAGTGACGTACGAGTGGCATCCCACCAGCGGGGGGGGGGGTTACACCCCCTGTTGATGGGACAGCCAACTATTTTTATTTTATTCCCCGGTCAGCTCGGGGAAGGACGAAAGAAGAAGGAAGAAAGACGATAGAAGACAGACGATACACCAAAGCAAGTGTCGCCCATGTGCACCTGAGCGTAGATGTCCATGGGCGACAAATCGCCAGTGAAGGGGTTGCACCTGCTGGCGGTGCAGTGGGTCTATTTATATCCCCCCGACCCACTGGGGGTGTCACTGCTTCTGAGTCAACAGGTAACAACAACAATTGTATCAACAGATAATAACAACAAAAATTGTATCAACAGATAACCACAACATGTACATGAGTATATGTAACAGGATCTAAAAAAATAAAATGATATCACATACTGTGGGATACATGATGTACGAATAAAAAAAGTAACTCAAAGAAATGAATCCAGTAAGTCCAAACATTAAGCATAAAAATCATCATTCAAATCAAAACTGCAAATGCTTTACGCCTCCATTAATAATTTCAGTTAATTTAGGAGGCTGGCAACTTCCACCCAGATCGCTTGTCGGGGCCTACTTGATTCATGATGGATACAAACTACATAGCAGTGCAAAGACAGTGAAACTCAATAAAATATTTTCGCCACAATGGCACCAAATAAGCAAAAATAAACTGCTGTACAATAAAAGTGACATTTTTCAACAGTAATGCAAATACCGAAAATAAGCACTAGATTCTGTTCATTCACAGAAAACCAATAACCACACAACAAATCTGATGGTTTTTAACTTTTATGTCAATATAAGGAAAGCAAGCACACATTTTCAAAAATTTTGTCTATCCAGTTGAATGATCTGTCGGAAAAAAGTCCAGTCTCTGATCACACAATTCGTGATTCTTTGGCCATCTGATAAAACTGGGACTGTGTGTCGGCGAGCAGGCTGGCTGGGGTGTCAAACTCCACCAGCTGACCCCGGTCCAGAACCATGACTCTGAGGATGCAGGGAGAAACTGGTTAGAAGAGGCAACATAAGAACTTTGTTTGAGAAAAAAGAAGCTCACTGACACAATAATGGTAATTTAGTGCTGGGAAAGAGCAATATTGATAGACATAAACAACAATGAGTAAAATAAGAAAAAAAGAAGTTGAATGTACCAGTGGAACCCTCCAACCACCCTCAACATGAGAGCATTAGGATCATATTCAGAAAAAACCCAATATGAAACAATGTAGAGGTTCCCCTTCAGCCTAAGTGGGCACTGATCCATAATGACATGCTTGTGTTTGTGCTGTACTGGTACACACTTTCATGTGTTATGATGATCCTGTTTTGGCAACTTAGGACAATGCCAGACAGAACAAGTCTGTTTTAGCGAGAGCAGGGAAGAGTTAATGTTCGGCTTTCAGCTGAGTCATCTTGCTTCGCTTCAGATATTGCATGTAAAAACTTCACCACTATCTTTCTTTCTCATCTTGTGACAGGTCTTGAATTCCTTCATCCACTGACTACAATTTTCTGCCATCTGTTCACAGATACAGAAGCTGATCTTGAATGAAGTCATGTTCTTCTTGCAGTTATTTTTGTACTTGAGTACAGGTGGAACTTTTCCCTCATTCTTCCATCTTTTATCTCCCTGTAGACTAAGTCTTCTAGTAATTACTTGTAGGGGGCAGTTGGAGGGTGCCACTGGTATGTCTACCTTTTCTCCCCCCTCTGTTGTTTCTGTCTGTCTTGCTTCTTCCTTGCACCAAATAACTGTTCTTGCGTCTATGTGCTTCTCTTTACTCAAACTCAACCACTTGTTGTGTCTCTTTTCTCTCCACTTGTTTGCTCTTGTCTACATTTGTTTGAGAACTGTCCTCTTGTTGTGATTATGTGTGAATCTCAGAATATACTCACTCAACTCATTGTGAGTCAGTGTAATAAAAGTCCCCAAGGAGTCAATATGAAAAAAAAAATCATTTTTCTATGCAGTGCACCTAAATTTCTCAGTGAAAACCTGATGTTTCTGTGACAGTGTATAACACTTGACACTCTAAACCCAGCACAAGGAAAAGCTAAACATGCACATTTTCCCCCACAATTATTTTGTCAATCACGACAGAACATACCATAAACATTCTCATTTCTGAGAAGGAACATGTATCATTAACAATAATGAAAAAAGTCATTGAAGTCTATACATTTATGCTAAATTTGAAAAGCATTGCACACTACGTTTTTTGTCTAAAGATTAGGTGAGACAGACAGCAGCTACATAATGGAAATGAAAGCATCTCTAAATAAAAAAATAAAAACAAATGAACAGGATTAATTGTTAATCATGTATTTGCTCATGTCATATCAGCACACTGGTACTTCCTCATTACTGATTATTATTAGATACAAGGAAACCACATTATAATGATTTTGAACATCATAGTCAAGGTCTGTATTAGCCAAAAAGAGTCAAAATATGAAATGGGACTTGGGGTTTCAGAAAAAGAACAATCCATCTGATGATAGTACATTTTAAAGTCTTGTACTTTATACTGAAGTTTTACTGTAATGCAAAAACTTCTTACTTGTCGTAGTCAAGAATAGTATGAAGCCTGTGAGCAATGGTGAGCACAGTGCAGGATTTGAACTCTTCCCTTATAGTCTTCTGGATGAGCTCATCTGTTTCCATGTCAACAGCTGCTGTTGCCTCATCAAGGACCAGAATCTTTGGCTGTCTCAACAGGGCTCGGGCCAGGCATACCAATTGACGCTGTCCAACACTGGGGGCACAGAAAATATCTTATATATCGTCGCTGTCAGACACAAGCAGTGTATCTCCCAAATTAGAATAAACGCTCCTTTCGTCTGAAATTATGTTATTCACAACTGTACTTACAACTGGTTACGCTATAATAAATATAACTATAACCATATACCTCCCAAATTAGGTCAAACACTTCTCTTGTCTGAAGGTATGTTATTTACCACCGTAATTACAATCGGTGATACTATAGTAAATAAAAACATGCTACACAAAATTTTGAGCAATCCTTGAAGATAAAAAGGTCCTATACCCATCTTCTGTTAGGTCTTGCACTTCCTTTCTTGCCTTATTATTCTTTATACTTCTTCACTCTTTATTCTCTGGCAACAGGATATTCTTAGAGTTCTAGCGATCAAATTGAGATAATTCATGATACTTTGTCCCCAATGCTTCAGCTATTGTCAGTGATTTTCCTGTTTAATTTTCTTCTGCATTGCTATCTCTATTGCCTTTTAGCCTCTTGACAGATTATCTTAAAGCAGTACCCATAAAAAAGATTGAAATAGAGAAAGTAGACTGCTCAAGTACTACATCTCTCCTTTCAGATCTTGACCTCCTTGATATGCTCCAAATGAGAGAAATCATCATTATGTTTGAAATCAAGGAAGATGTAGGGGTGTGTCTTACTGTTTTTTTAGTACTGCTAAAATCAAATGATTAAAATGTAAGCAATACCAACTTGTAAGTGATGATAGTTAAAAGTTTGTCAAATCTCCTTTCTCCCCGTCAAATCAAATTGTCGTTTTTCAAAGGTTGTGTTTTTACACACCCCATCCACACAATTTAGGTGAGCCCTGGCACATGAATGGTTACAATGAATGTAGCGCCAAAGGGGTTAAGCAAACTCAAGCATTGCTCTACTTGTCGTCACCGACCTGAGATTCTCCCCGCCTTCCTCCACGGCAAACTGGAGGTCACATGACATGCCGCTGTTCTTGTTGCAGAAATGGCTGTTCCTTAATGCTTGCTCCGCCGCCGTGTTGGGGAACCAGCCCAGGGGGTCAAGGTTCATCCACAAGGTCCCGCTGAACAACACTGGGTCCTTGGGGGGGGGGGGGGGGGGGGGGAGAGAGAAAATTTCAAGGTGTTTTGTGTTTTTTGGGGTAAGAGTTTTACATCGCTCGCAACTGCATAAGGTCATTTGAGAGTGCTGTCAACGTGTTAGAGGATGAGTAAGTTCAGTAGACACATAGTGGAGGTTTCTGGGGAGGGGGGGGGGGGGGGGGGGAAGTTTAGTTTTAGTGCTGTTAGAGCACTATAAGGGCACGAAAGTGATGATAATTAGAAGTATTTGTCATCATCGTCCAGTGCCAGATCTGCGACAGACATCGATGAACATGGTTTTCCATTCATTCCTTTGCTCGGATGCTCTCAAAAAAGCTGTGTTTCCCTGATCTTTCCCAGTTACCCATTTGTTTAGGTTCCCTAAGTAGGTTGCTCTGGGCCTACCCCTGCCTCCTTTGCCTTCAATTTTGCCAGTGAGAGCTAGATGTTCAAGACCCTTATGTCTATTCAGGTGTCCCAAAAACTGCATTTGTCTTTTCCTGATTGTTTTTAACATTGAGCATCCCATGTGGGCTTCATCAGGCACTACCTCATATGATGTCTTTTCCTTCCACAATACTCTTAGCAGTCTCCTAAGAAACCACATTTCTGTTGCTTCTATTTTATTTTCACTGTCTTTGGTGATTGTCCAGCATTCACAGCCAATATAGAAGGGTTGACCATACACAGCATATCAGAGCTTTCATTTTGGTGGTCATTGAGACGTTTCTATTTTCCAGGATTGCGCTTATTCTATTGAAACTAGCCTTAGCCATTGTAATTCTCCGTTTTATTTCTGGGGAACATTTGGTATCAAAAGTTATTATATATCCTAGATATTTAAACCGTTGAACTTGTTTAATCTTTTTACCTTTGCTAATGAGATTACAACTAGGATTTGCTGCTTTTAGAAGTGTTACAAGTGTAAAAACTCATTCACATTAGGAGCGATAACGACGACAGGTATTTGATAGGACAGAAGGAGCAAGCTGTATCCAGGCACATGCTAACCACTCACAGACGGCAAGGGATGTTACGGTGTTGTAGTGAGAGTAAGTTCAGTAGACACAGTAAGGTAATGAGGGGAATCATAGTTGAGGGAAGGGGGAGGAGAGGATGATATTACGGTGTTCGAATTTGAGTAACTTCAGTTAACACATTGGGTGAAGAGGGAATCATTATTCATTGGTAATGGGCTTATGGGCTTGTATCCACATGAAAGGATGACTTATCATGAGGAAAGGATTGTGCTCTGGGCTGCTCCCTCAGGTTGACCAGCTCAAAACTTAAATTTGTTAATCAAGTCAGACGAGGAGCTAGGGTGAAGAGAATCAATATTCATTTAAAGATTTATTTTCATAATAAGTCAAACACTACTGATCATAATATTGATGGTGATGAGGATAATAACTATAATAATAATAATAATAATAAAATTATTGCATTTATAATGCACATATCCATGCTCTATAACATGCTCCATAGATTAATATCAAGAGGTAAGCCCAGGATAGGGAAAGGTGGATGCAGAGTGATGAGAAAGGCAGTGACAAAGATGATAATGTTGCCAAAAAACAATTAAGAAAAAAATATCTGGAGAAAGTGATTTTAAAGCTAAAGCAAATCAAGATAACTTTGATATTGATATATCTAAGATGGAATGGAATGTCTGCATACTTACCTGAGGTAAAATAGTGAGGTGTCGCCGCAGGTCAGAAAGGCTGACCTTGGTCGTGTCGACGCCGTCGATGAACACGGTTCCTGCGCTGGGCTCTATCAGGCGGAACAATGCTATGAGAAGGGAGGATTTACCTGCTCCTGTCCTGCCCACAATCCCAATCTGGGGACACCACAGATACTTTTCCTAACTTTTTGACCAAGCCAGTGTGTTCCTTATCCTTAACAAAAAGTATGTTACCTATTCTTCAAGATTTGATGAGTTGCAATTCTTTAGCTATTACAGAAAGTTCCTTATAGCCAGTCCCCTTGTTCCTGTATAGATCTGTCAGTTATAACAGTGAAAACATGGGTGTCTGTGGTGTAGTGGTTAGGTGCTTTGCTGTCACATGCAAGAGACCCCGGGTTGATTTGCTAGTGGCAAGAATTTGTTTTACAGTATCTTGCTCTTTTTGCAGGAATGTTATACCCCTCTCTGCTCAGGCTAGTCCTGACAGCAGGGTTAAAACATCTACATTAAAGAAAAAATTTAAGAGAAAAAGAATGGAAACCAATGGCCCTCTCTTAGAAGGCAAATTCTTGTTCCTCCAATTGTCTTTACGAAAGGATCCCCCAGTACATGTGATAAAATACATGGTGATGTAAATGTGTGAATTTAAAATAGCACTTCAATCACACTTGAGGCTGCACAAGACAGTTGTTGGTCATTCCAGACAGAAAACATATGCTCGGACCTGCTTAAACAACCAACAGTCCAAGTCTATCATCCATGCGTACGACTACTTACTATTTGTATTTTCTATATATCATAATTACAGTGTCTCAGACATTCACTTGTCTTAGACGACTACTTTTTTCCTGATAACGGGTGCCCTTCTTGGACAATTTCGGCCGTAATTGTATGATGAGTAACCTTGACAGTAGCCTATAGTGGTGATAAAACTCTTTTTATAAATAACCAAAAATATCTGTGACAAGTGCATACGTATGCTTCACTGTCTCTCTCCTGACCTTTTCTCCATCTTGGATGCTGAAAGTCAGTTCTTTGAGCACAGGGTCGAGGCCGGGCCGATAACGGAGGCTGACCTTTTGGAACTCAATGTTGCCCGACTCAGGCCATGAGCGAGAACAGTCGGACTTCATCTGGTACTTTGAAGCCTGCGGGCAGAGGACAAAAATTATTTCACAGGAGGAAAAAAAAATCCCAAAAACATATTCAGAGGAAAAAAAAAAAATTTCCAACAAAATGAGAAATAAAAAATGTCTTAACTCTAGTACAAAGGAAAAAAGAAAGCAAAATTCCTTCAAGTCCAAAACAACACTTTACTATACAGCTTAAGTTAAATCAAGCTTCCACTGTGTGAATCTGAATGCAAGGTTCATTATGTCTTCTTGTCTTCCTCTGTCCATTGAGCAGCAGCAAATGGGTTCTCAGAATAGGTAGAAATAAACTACAGAGGAAAGCCAGAAGGCTGCATTTTGGATGCTGTAACACTATATAATCTTTTATTCTTTGAGGGAATACCATGATAAACCGCTAACTGGTATTACCCCATTCTTACAGATATAGAGTAAACTGGCGGAGATTTCTTCACTCTGGTGCACACACAAACAAATCTACTCTAATGGTCACCTGTTCAAGACAACGTTCTGTACAAAACGGCCACTTCCCACGACGCCCACCTGTCCTCTACAACTACTTTTCTCCTTGACAATGGGAGGCCCTCTTGGACAATTTTGACTATACCTCTGACGGAAGGTTACTGTACTGCAGGGTTCTTTCAAGAGACACGATATCCATCTCCAGCATGCTCGCAATTCGAACCTGAAGCTGCATCTGATCAGTGATCTAGTGAGAAGACAGAAACAAACAAAACATGTGATCTGTGATCTAACAAACAAAACATCTGATTGGTGATCTAGTGAGAAGACAGAAACAAACAAAACATGTGATCTGTGATCTGTGACCTAACAAACAAAACATCTGATTGGTGATCTAGTGAGAAAACAAGAATAAAAACACTATTATGATTGGCGATCTAGTGAGAGAACGAGAAAAGAGACACTATTAAATATCATGATTGGTGATTTAGTGAGAAAACGAGAACAAAGACATTGTCATGATTGGTGATTTAGTGAGAAAACGAGAACAAAGACATTGTCATGATTGGCGATTTAGTGAGAAAACGAGAACAAAGACATTGTCATGATTGGTGATTTAGTGAGAAAACGAGAACAAAGACATTGTCATGATTGGCGATTTAGTGAGAAAACGAGAACAAAGACATTGTCATGATTGGTGATTTAGTG